TCGTAATTCATATGCGCTTCAACAACAAGATCAAGAACAAAAACAAGTTCATGTAGAAGAAGAAGAAGAAGAAGAAGAAGAAAAGAAAACAATAATAACGACACAAAAATCAGATGTTAATGAAGAAATAAGTGAATGTCCAATGTGTTATTGGGAATTTCCAAAACATTTAACACTCGAAAACAAGAAAGAACATATTGAAAATCATTTTGCTTAGATTAACAAAATAAATCGAACGTTGTGTATATATACCTATAATGAACTTCTTTCTTTTCAGACATACTATCGTTCTTTCGATTATTTTTCTTTTTAATTATCTCTCATGAACATTAATATATAAATATATTTATACATGATGATCACTTTCTTCTCTTGTTCTTTGCGTTTTTATTTTCTTCAATAAGATTTTCATGACATTTTAATTCTTTATCATGAAAATAATAAAAGAAAAGCAACACGTTCGCTTTTATTTTTCTCAATTCATACAATGAAATTAATTATTCAAATTACACATAAAAGTACGAGGTTAAATTCTAATCTCTATTCAATATGAAATGTTACAAAAATAAAGTCGACATCATAAATGATTGTATCACAATAAATCTCTTCAAAATCGATTTTTTTTTTCACAATTCAAATATCATCCTCAAGTATTTGTATAGCACGCATTCGACTTAATGGTCGTTCTAATTTAATTTTGTCATTTAATGGTGACGGTGTTTCGACACTTCTATCTTGACTGATTGAAAGTTCACTGGTTGTTTCAGATATTCTAGATACTCTAGAACGATAATATCTTATATACTTAAGACAACAGATTATAAATGAAATTAATAAACATAGTAAACAACTAGTTAATAGAATAATAATTAGAATAATATGTTTTGATTTTTTATCTGATATAGATAATAATTCATTTGAAGATGTTTCAATGATTATTATTGGTGAGATTGTATTTATTGATGGAATAAATATGGGTAAACATAAATCTTGTTGACTTTCTAAGGTTATATTATGATTATGAATCATATAAATAGTTTGCATTGGTTTTATGTCATCACCACATATAAGTATTATTTTAATAGATAAACGTGTTATATTAATAAGATTTCGATTTATATTAATATATTGATTTTGAATATGTAATTCAAAAAAAAGTGCACGATAAGCTTGATAGTTTAATTGAAATATATGTTCAATATATTCAAGATTAATTTCTTCAATTGTATTTTCTTTTATTAT